TTGGAATATCGACGAAACAAGGCGAGGACTCCTTAGATTTATGCGCGTTGCTACACGCGCGAAAAGGAAAGACAAAAAGGGAGAAAGTAGGAGTGAAGATTGATGGGATCAATATGCAGTAAGGCTGAACAATGGGGCTAATGGGGGAGACGCGCCGTGAAAAACTTTGATATTACTGCTAGCCCGGGATACTTTTCCATTCAAAATTTATTAACGATTATTAACGTTGCAAAGCTAAATAGAAAATTAAAAAGTGTGCAGCCACGAGCGAACATTCAGTTTGGTTTAATTGTAATTATGAAATGCAGGAAGAATGAAAAATTATTGTCGACGCGGAAGATAACGTACACGCCCCGAGTTAACGTAAATTTGAGAGGTTACAAGTCGTTTGAGTATCTCACGAACAATGAAAATTACAAGGCACGAGCGCAAAATTTTTTAATCTAATTTTTTACTTCGAAACTATATAATAGTATACAAAGTAATTGTACCTGCAAGTTTATTAATTTTAATTCGTGACATAAAATACAAACAACGATTTTTATTATCAGGATGTAATTATTAGCACGATATAATAAGGTCGATTTGATTCGATTTGAATAGAAACTTGAACGTGAACTCGAAATGCGTTGTTGCGATGGAAAAATATAGGTACTTAGAAATGCAAATGACGTGTAAATATTAATTAATTGTAGCTACTGTATCCTAAACGACAAGCGTCGAAATGAAAACTTCCACAAGTTGTCATTCGCGCAAATAAGGTATTAAAAATGTTTCATATGGTACATAAAACGAACAAAAACCGAAATTTTAGATCGTGCAGTAAACGTTATATGAACAACGACTGTACCAACGACAATTCCATTGTATCGTTTATTAATTGTTTGAAATGCACATCAAATTAGTTGAGCTCGTAAATGATACGTCACGTATTCAATTTACAATCATGACAGTCGCGATGGAATAAATTAATGCTATTGCGATACTATCGTTCGCATAATAAATGCCGCGTTATCGAATGCATACATTCGAGATATTAGTTCAATATATATAGACGCAATTAATCGGCCAAGTTTTTCAGCTCGGGGGATGCGCTGCCGGATTAATGAATTTATAAAATATAGATGCCATATTGAAAACCGTGTAACACCGAACGAAATTGATGGTCGGAACACCAATTACAAGATAGAAGCTATAAACCAATTTTTTAACGCGAACGGTGGTCTCCAACAGAGAACGGTGAAAATAAAATCACCAGGCAAAGGAACGTTAAAGGGTAACTAATATTCTCGAATATACGTTTCTATTACTTTCGTTACGAACGAGCCATACGAGGATAGAATACGAGGACATAAATGGGGGGGGGGAAGAGAGAGGGGGGGAAAAAACGTTTCTTTGCCAAAAAGGATATTGCAAAGTCAGAGAGCGAAAGATTAAACCATGCTTCGAATTCGAATCTATAAGTGTTTTGCTCCTCCAGGAATCGGGCGGCGGCACGTGTCAAAGGGTGGAAGAAGAAGAAGAAATTCAGCGACCGGACAATAATGCGCAAGCGTGAACTGCGATGGAATTACTAGGGCCGTGAATGTGGCCGAGCGAGACGGCGCCTATAGTCAAGATGGCTGCCCTACTCCCTCCATTGCGTCTCCCATCGCTATACCGGTTGGCGCGCCTGCCTCGAGGAGAACCAAGCCAGCTTACATCGCTAGCCAGAAACGGGTACATACAATCGCATACTGTTTCGTCTACACTTACCCCAAATATTTTTAAACTTCTGCCACACTTTTCTTCTTTTTCTTGACGCGACGCCCGCCACTGTGGCTTTTCGTTAGTTTCGCTGACTGCCGATGTATATAGACCTCCAAAATCCTCGTCATTCTTTCTCGTCGTCGTCGTCGATTTTCCACGAAAAGACACGCACGAAAATGTATCGTCGTCGTCGTCGTCGTCGCCGCGTCGTGCGTTTACCAACGCTCACACAGCGCAGCGCTGCTTGACGCCTGGGGATAGAGAAATAGAATATAGAAGAGGGGAATGGCGGCAAGGGCGGGTGAAAGATACATGTAAGAGAGGAACTCTGAAATTTCCCATCTCGTTCATGTCACAAGAATGATGCTTTTGTTTTTACGTCCCCGTTTTAAACTTCTTGTACATTGTTTATTGTAACGTTAAAACGTCTGTGTAAACTTTACTCGAATATCTAAAGAATCTAGGCAGCATTATCTTTCATTGCATTGAGAAATTCGATAAACTGTATATTCGAAGAAACTGTATAATCATAGTATATTGGACGAACGTATAACTCGAAATAGTTTTGAATAAAGATTGTAACATTTATAAAACCCAAAACTATAATACATAGTTATCGAAAAAGATAAAGGGATATAATATCGTAATTATTATCACAAGGAATTATTTGTAATAAAACTTTTAACTTTGGAAAAACGGAAGTGACTCTTTTTCTTCGACCGATTGGAACGGAGTCTCGTAATAGAGGCGCAAAACGAAACAATATCGATCGTTAAAGCCAGCGTGAAGCGATAGTTCTCTCGACTCCGAAAGGCTCGCGGAAGATTTCCTTAAATCGCATACGGCAGTAACCGAGATTCTTACCTGAGAGTCAAAGAGGCGGTCTGAGGATAGGCAAAACCAAGGATAGGTAGACGAAAAAGATCCCTGGAGGAAGGAGGATAAAGTGACGGAGGCTGCGACAGATGGACCGTGCGCGGAAGGTGGAAGGAGAATCCTAAGATGGCTGCCGTGTAAGCACGGCGTACGCGTCGCGTGCAACAACAACGTGGGTGAGCTAACGGGTGCCCGATGTGGAAGTGCAAGCCATAACTCGGTGATTTTTCTCGGGAGTGAATTCCATTCTTGTCAACGAGTTTCGTTGGAAACGATTTCGTAAAACGACAGAAACGTAGTTCAGCACACGGCCACGCCCTTGGCACGGGCAGCCATCTTGCATGTCAGCTGAGCGCGATGCACCACGGTAGTCAGTGTTGCAACCTTAGCAACCATCACGCGACTTACGCTGCATGTACGCCTTGCCAACATTGGCTGACGCTACTATTCAGGTACATTTTATCATATTTTTACCTTTTTTCCGTCGTCATTAAGGCCGGTCATAATTCTAGATTGAAAATTATAACGATACTTGGTAGCTTTAGATACCCAAGTTAGATATCCTTTGTTCTTGCATGACTCTTAGGGGACTATATTTTAGAACTATATAGTTTCTTGTAAAAAAAAAAAGCTTTATTTACATTAAATATCTTCTCTTTGTGTTGTAACGTTATTTTCTACGTTTAAAATGAAATTGTTAAAATATCATTTTTTTGTTGTTTATTTTTTTATTCGTTTAAAAATTTTTACGTAATATATCAAAATTTTACATAATATAATATAAAAATACATAACAGATAGAAAAAGATAAATTTACATGACTGAAAT